CGTCTTCATGAGTGACCTGAATGAAGGGATGGGCTCCATCATCAGCAAATTTGCTAATGATACAAAGCTGGGAAGATTGGCAACATGCTAAAAGGCTGTGCTACCATCCAACAAGACCTGGACAGACTGCAGAGTTGGGCAAGGAAGAACCTGATGAGATTTAACAAGAGCAAGTGTAGAGTCTTGCACCTGGGGAGGAATTACCACACGCATCAGTACAGGTTAGGGGATGACCTGCTGGAGATGAGTTCTGTGGAGAAGGACCTGGAGATCTGTTGGTAGACAACAGGTTGGCCGTGAGTCATCAGCCACCATGCGCCTGGTGGCCAAGGCCAGTGGTATCCTGAGGTGCATTGAAAAGAGAGTGGCCAGCAGGTTGATTCCCCTCTGATCTACCCTGGCTACTTTGTCCAGTTCTGGGCTCCCCAATTCTTAAAAGACAACCATCACCTAGACAGAGTCTAGCAGAGGGCCACAAAGATGATTAAGGGCCTAGAGCATCTCCCACATGCGGAAAGGTTGACTAACCTGGATCTGTTCAGCCTGGGGAGGAAAAGATTGAGAGCGGATCTGATAAATGTTTATAAACATCTGAAGAGAGATGGATGCAAATGGATGAGGCCAGGCTCTGTAGTGATAGGATAAGAAGTGATGCCCTAAACCTGGAATGTAGGAAATTCTGTACTAACATGTGTAAGAACTTCTTTATGGTAAGGGTGATGGAGTGATGCCCAGAGAGGATGTGGAGTCTCTTTCTACGGAGATATTCAAAACCCATTTGGAAGCCTTCCTGTGTGACCTATCGCAGGGTATGTGCTTTAGCAGAGGACTGGACTCAGTGATCTCTGGAGGTCACTTTCAACCCCTGCAATTCTGTGATCTCTTGAGGTTCCTTCCAATCCCTATGATTCTGTGATTATATGAACTAACTGGATTGTCAGAAAATGGTTACTATCCTTCACCTTACTTTTAATTTCATATTACGTACCCGTCCATTTTTAGTTTATAATGTTCATTTAGAGGGTTAAATCACTCATATAACAGTAATTACAATCAAGTTAATCTTCTTAGTCAGTATTAAGTTGTCCAAACAAAATATGAAATTGCAGTTTACAGGAAAGTGTTGGTTCTGTCCTCAGTCTTTTTCACATATTGTCAGGACTTACTCATCATCTTTTCAAGTAATTAATACATTTGGCACACAGCAAGGATTTTCTCAACCAGTTCATGAAACATAACAATTTATTAGTTGTAGTTGTACTTAACTTAAACAATACACACCATTTTAAAATTACATTGTGATTACTAAATATTAATACAAATATCTTTTTTTCTCTGAAATTAGCATAAGCATTTTTAGAATATTATTATTAATATTTTATTTTAAAATAATATCAATGTATTCACTGTCCATCCTTCAACAGTGACTTCCATTATCTTCAAAATATAACAGGAAACAAGGTTTATTTATGGTTTACTTTACAGTTTACTTCACTCCCCCTTTATCTGTTGCAAAAGCCAACTATTTTGCACAAAGTTTCCAAAGCAGTTTTAAGCTAAGTCCAGATGTGTAGGTTAGAAAGCTGGTTCTTTGCAGTGCTTGGCAGTGGGGAGGCCCACTGGAAGATGAAGACAGTTGCTGGGAAAGCAGACAAGTATTCTTGCTGGGCAGAGGTGTCAGAGGCTGAAGGGTGAGGGCCAAGCAAGCCCAGCCCCTGCGCCTGCTCACTGTCAAAGGCAGGTGGGGGCAGAGTGTGCCTGCATTGTCCAGCAATGTTTTTTACTCCTGCATCATGGCTGTTAGTGGTGTTTACCTAATAGGACAAAAGATGGCTCTCCACCCACTGCCTTTATTACTTGCAGATGTTTCTCTCACCCTTACAAACTGGGACTGGTAGTTTTAAACTGTGCTTGTTATTTGTCCTGAGAGAAATAAGATGTTTCTTTCTCCATAAATCTATTTCTTTCTACTGTGTTGTGTTAGCTCTGCATACAGTTTATTTTGTACCTCAAAACAGTTCATTTTTCTATTTCACGGCTATTTGCTACTTCAGATTTTTCTCATTATTTCTTTCTTACATTTCACAGGCAGGATCGTACAAATTTTAGCTCCAGTTTTAAGTAGCATTTCAAGTTTTCCAATTGTATTTCTCACGTTTCTTTTTCACTTATTACATGTAATTCCACAAGAACAAACAAAACCCAATCCTGTCCAGCTGCAGTAATCACTATTTTTTAGTTCTTTTTCTTTCTCCTTTTTACAAAAATTTCTTTATCTTGCAGAATGCTGCACTATAAGCATTTTAACACTTGTTTTGTCTTATAAACTGATGTATTTATTTTTTTATCAAAGTGACATTTTCAGTAAAGAATATTCAATCTCATTATTGAAATATTCTCTCTGTATCTCTGGCTGATTAAATACTGGAACTGGTTGAAGTTTGTGGAATCTCCATGCTAGAGAATATCACAAACTCAGTTGGAAAAGCCTCTTGCAATTTGATCTGACTTCGAAGTTTCATCTACTTTGGATGTTGACTCTGCTTTAAGCAAGGGCTTGGACCAGGTAGGCCTCCCCTTCAACCATATTATCTTGTGGTTTTATGGAGAGCTGCATTGGGTCAGCTGCAGACATTCTTGAGAACATAACCACACAATGCGGATGTGTGAGGTGACCAGGTCAGCACTGAAATGTATGAGTTTTGTCTTTTCCTGTCTCTGTGACCTGTTCAGAATCCCCTTAACGTTGCCTGAGAAGACTTTCCCAAATTTCCTGATGTTTTATTTTGTTCCGCATTCTTCCTAGTGTAAGAAATGATAGCTGCAGGGCAAACTGCATCAGCTGACTGTGACCTGTGAAGTAAGGTATTGCAAGGTCTTTGTTGCTTTCCAACTCCCTCTGGATTTTCTTTCCTCCTGCAAGCATACAAATAATTCCACATATCTGTCATTTGATCTATGCCCTGAGGAAACAGAGCCATATAGTTAAGAGCAAAATACACTACAGGAAATCGTAGGGTTTTAAGCAATTTTGAACCATGATTGCTGTATTCTAGCCTGGTTCTCCCTTTGTGAAATGATGCCTTTTTAAAACAATTTACCCTTCCACCTCAAAAAGTGAAATTTGATCTGACACCAAGGGAACAGCACAAATGGTTAAATTATTGGCAAGCTGTAGCAGTGGTGTCTGTGCTCGGGAGAAACCGTGTGCATGGGTGCATGCGCTGCTGAGAAGCAACTCTCAGGAGAGTTACTGTGCATGCACCGAGTACTGCCAGCCTGTTTAGTGTATTCGCCTCTGCAGTCATTAGGTGCTCTGAGAGAGAGGGAACAAAGTCCTAGAACTGCCTCCTTGTGCATAAGGTTGTTTCTGTGTAGGAGATGCATTCTCACAGTATTTCAGCCACCCACTTCAACCCTCTGAGAAAAAAATCAACTCTAATTTTCCCATTCCATTTATACGTAATGCATTGTGTAGGATACCAAGTGGTTATGGTTACTAAGAGCCCTATTTGTATTATGCTCGGTACTAATTTCAGGTAAGACTTTGAAGAACTGAGGAGTCTTTCACAATACCATAAGCTAACATTATGCTTATTTCCAAATAAATATAAAGGAAAAACATGAAGGTTGTTTTATGATGGAATAATACTTTCCAAGAGTTTGTGGGAAATTTATTCCCAACATTGCATCATTTAAAAAAAAAAAGTAATCATACATTTTAATTAGGTTGAATCAAATATTTTATATGCTAATAAAAATAAATGAACATAAATCTGCCATAATTTCATTTGCCTATTTTTTTCTATTCATTATTTCTACTGATTTTGCATTGCTTATATTTATACAATGTGTTGCATGTTATAGATTTTCTCTATAAGTAGCCAGCATTAGATGACTAATTTCAATTTTTTCAATTCAATTAATTTCAACAGACTTCTGAACTAGATGCTTGTTTCACATTTTTTTTCACATTTCATAACATAAAAACATTATCCCATCAAAACCGTTAAAATAATAAATGATTGTTAAAATAATTTTATTGTTAAAATCATAATATATCTTTACAAGAATCTACCTTGTATGTTACAAAACTGTAAATCATTTCAGCTTAGAGATTTGCACAGAAAGAAGAAAATATCCATACTTGTCTGAACATCCTTTTTGTCACAGCTCTACAGAATTACTGATAATTTTTTATTTCTCTGCAGTGCTGCGACTTCTCCATATGGTTTAACTGAGCACTGTCAGAAGTGTTCTCATCAAAGAGTTTAGGAGGAATCTGATGTTCAAGTAATTTGTCTGTGCAAGTTTATTGCCACAGAGGCATGAGTCCATGCATTACAAAATCTCTTTTGGGCGTTTCCATGTTTGTAATGTAAAAGAATGTTCTCAAAACTAAAAGTTAAAGCACACTTGGGAAAATATTTGGATTTTTCTAATGCCATAGGCACCACCTTTCTTCTGGTATAATGATGAATTCTCTGTAAACACAGAGCAGTAGAGCTCCACATTAGCTCATATTCTGCAGCAAAAATACACTGGAGGCCAAAATAAAAATAAAGTCATTAAAATGAAGGAAAGTCCATGTGTCATGGATATTAAAAATATAACCTAACTTTTAAGCAGGGAAAAACCATGTATGACAACCTGCAAAGCTTTATTTAGTGTTTAAATAAAACTGGAGACTAGCAGTGTCACAAATTAATATAAAATACCTGTGATCATAGTTAGCGAGTCCTCTCTGACTTGTTGGACCTCTGACTCTTAATGGACCTTGCCTATTTGATAAGCTGTAAAGAATGGACAATTATGTGTGAACAATTGTGTTATGTGTGTTCTCAAAGTGGATTTAAAAACAAAAAAAGACAAAAAATGCATTGGAGGTCTCTTCACAGTGACTGTTGCATTGCTTCCAATATTCCAGATGGGAGAAGCTGTTACTAAAATTTGAAATAAGCAATGCTCTGACATATATATATATTTTTTTTCTTCCACAGATTAAGATGCTTGGTGAAGCAACTGGAGAAAGGTGACATCAATGTGGTGGATTTAAAAAAGAACATTGAATATGCAGCATCTGTGCTGGAGGCAGTTTATATTGATGAAACCAGGTGAGTCTGACATGAATAAAATCATAGAATGGTTTGAGTTGGAAAGGACATCACAGATCACATAGTTCCAGCCTCCCTGCTACGGCAGGGCTGCCCCCACCAGCTCAACTGCCCAGGGCCCCATTCCATTTGGCCTTCCTCCAGAGATGGGACACCCACAGATTCTCTGGGCAGCTGTGCCAGTGTCTCACTGCCCTCTGAGTAAAGAATTTCTACCTTATATCTAATCTAAACCTCCCCTCTTTTAGTTTAAAAAAGGAAGAGCAGTTGGGAGTTACATTTTACAAATCTAGTCTTTGCATGCAGTTGTAAATGTTATGAACTGAAGATCTCTGCAAATCAGAATAATGGGTAGCTTTTAGATTTTTTAGTGACAAGGTTAAAGCACTTAGGATTCCAAAGATCAGGTGTAACCATCATCTGGAGAATTTGCTTAGTTTCTGTCATCTTCACTTGCCAGATGTTGACAGTATAAAGTCATAAGAAATTTCTGAATGATGGATGATGGATTTTCTTTCGCACATAGGTCACACAATGATAATCATACTGAGGACTATGTCACGAAAAAAATGAGCTGTTTGGAAATGAAATGCTCACAGATATGAGTCAGGGTATTATAATCTGGCCGCTAACATATAAGTTAACGAAAAGTTGTGATTTATTTTATAGTATTTAATTATTTGTTTGTATTTATCATTACTGGCAGTATTAATGGCAGTCATCTTAAATGTGGGTTGACTTCAATGAAATTGGAACTTCTACGTAAAAGTTCTTCCTGAAAACATTTTAAGATATGTAATATAATTGATGCTAACTAGCTAATTTACAATTTTATTTCAACATGCTTATTTTATTTTTTTTTTAAAGCAGAATGTTCTTGTAAAACAGTCTGCCAAACCCTCTTCAGTACTGCTGGAGCACGCATGCTATGTCTAGTCTCAGTCCCTTCTGACATTTAGGAAGTCTGCCATCTACTAATTATTGCACAGACCTAGCTATCTCATCCTCTCTTTCTTCTTGGAAGTCTGCAAATGTGGTACAGTGCATAAACTGCAGCTCTAACTTCTTCCAGTTTCCTTTCCTTTAATGTGTATGATTCACACACCAAACCGTGCTGGTTTGTAATTAGGAGCATCAACTATTAGGCAATAGAAAGCATAAACATTTGCAAACAGAAGGATGAAAACAATAGCAAATTTGGTACCAATGCTCTGGTTTTCCCAGATTATAATACAGACTGGGCTAGCAAAATCACTTCTGCTGGTGTCCTGCTCTTAGAGTTAATGCCTGTCCAGTTCTGTAAAAGACGATAAAACTGTGGTAAGAGAGACTTCCGGAGCAGCTGAGTCGTAGTTAATTCCATTTATGTACCACTATGAATGTAATTATTTCAGTTTCGCTGATTGATTTAAGTTAATCAAGCTTCCTTTGTATTGTATTGTATCAAGGACTGGTTTGTGCATTTAAAATAGTTTGAAGTTAAAGTGATAAAATTTCTTAGGGAGATGTACAAAGAAATGATCGACACACTTCTCTTCAAGCATATATTACACTAATAGCACCGTAACATTTTATTTTCCAGTAATAGTTCTAAATGTAAATTCTGTTGACACAGTTCAAGTTCTCAAGAAGCTTTGGAAAATCTGGGTCCTCACCTCTGCATCGTGCAATACCCTAAAATCATCAGTGAACAGAACTTCATGCATTCTGCATGAACAACCACAGAGCTGTGTCATAGCTGCACAGTCAGTTGGGAGCAAGGATGTAATTACTCCTTCCATGCACCTCCCAGGCACTGTGATTAAGTGGGTACAGTACTCATAGCTCTTTCTGAGTAGTAGCACCAGGACTGTGAAAAATTTTTGTTTCTAAAATAAGGCCTTTATTGAAACAAATAGTATCATTATAATGAGGAACCCAGTCTTTCTAGCTCCGTGTGGGAGTATCAAGAAAAGTAACAGAAATTTCATATGCAGAGAAATCTGGTACACCTGAAAATGCTTAGATTTCAGCAGCAGCTGAAACTCTTTAAATAAGTTTATTGCCCTCATAGGTCTCAGTGGCAGGATTATTAAACTGCCCAAATGAAAATAAATATACTTAACTTTATAGTGGTCTAGAAGATTTTTGTCATTCTCAGGCTATTTTCTTAACCTTAGGAGCATTATGATCTCATAATGGTGATTATTCAGATGTTTTAAAAAAAAAATCATTATATTTGGGGAAGGCCACAGGATGTCCAATCTTCATCCTGAGCCCACTAAGCCATGTCCCTCCTTGCACATCTACCCTTTTCTTGAGCACCGCTAGGGATGGTGACTTCACCACCTCTGAGCAGCTCATTCCAATACCTCATCACTCTTTCTGAGAAGAAATTTTTCCTGATATCTAACTTGAAATCTTATTTATGAATTGCATTCCATATTTTGCTTAACAATATGATTTTTCATTATAATAAGTCATAAAGGAAATTAATTAAAACTGAGACAGATGTCTAGTTTTGTTGTAACTCACTGAATACTTCTACAACACAACTGCAAACTGAGCTGATAGACATGCCAATTTTTGTTATTATTTTCTCTCTCTATATATACATTAAGCATATGGATTATGTATTTCCTCCCATACCTACAGCTATTTTTCTGAAGTATTATGATGTAAAGGAATTTTCCTTGCCCATGCTACTTATGGCATGAGTAACAGTTAAAAGTGAAGTAACTTTAATGAAACCAATTCTTCAAATTTTATTCTCCTATTTTTAGTGTTTAGTACTTTATATTCCATATTGTCTGTTTTGGTTTTAGTTTCTGAATTTATTTTCCGTCTCTGGACTAATGCAATTAGATTCAGATTTAGAATGGTGCATTGTTTGGACCTTCTGTTAAATTTATGGTAAGAATACAGGCTGAGTTTCCACTTTTGTAAAGTATTGTAAAATTGTAAAATATTTAAAATATTATCTGCACTACTGTTTTAAATTTTGACACTTTCCCATATAAAAAAAAATAATCCTGCGATTTGATGTACAGTATAGAAAGTGCAATGATGTCTCCTTGTCCAAAGTATTGCAGGTTTAGGACAAAAGGTTCAGTACAGAGCACTCAACTCACATTAAAAGAGCCATATTTTGTATTTTACTAAACCATTGCTTACATATCCAAGAAGACCTCAGCTTCAATCAGGCACTAAAACTGGATCCTGTCTGTGATGTTTTCTTCCTCCCCCATTTTCTGGGAGATAGAACTCAATACCAGTTGACAGAGAGCCCTCTAAAGTATCTCGATAGTCAGATTAGGAATAGCAGTGAACAGAGAGAGATTTGATTTACTTTGATTGAAAGGCCTTTCAATTCTATAAAGTTGTATGTGGACATGCAAATATGTGCAAGCTGGCAGCACCTTAAGTTTTCATTTAGCATACAACCATCAGCTTGAAATGGACGATAGAATTCCAACCCTTTAGCTGAGTAAGGAGCTCCTTCCTCAGGTCCTACTTGCTTCTCTGCTGTTCTGTTGCTCTCTGCTGTGGCCTCTGATCTGAGAATAATATAGCATTTTTAAAAACTGAGTACACATACTTATATCCATACAAGCTCTTTCTAAAAATATATGCAGTTGGGTTGGTGAAAAGGCAGAGAGGTAACACAGCAGGTTTTAATTACAGTGTTCTGAGAACAGATTCCTTTGGAACTAGCCAGATAGTAGAAATAGCACCCCCAAATTATGAAAAATTGATTTGGGGTAGTGATTTTCAGTATGCTGTATGAAAGATTCTGAGCTGACGGGAAGTTGGAAAATGGAGAGAAGTCAGATATATGTAAGTGCTGCTTTTCTCTGAGCTTAATTATCTGTGGCCCCATGTTAATTAACAAGCTTCTTTATCAAACACTTTTTAGGACTGCTGCATCTGTCAGTACTGCATAACTGTAAGGCACACGAGACACTTCCTTGAAAGAAAACTAGCGCTTTGGTCACTGGAGCGGAGGCTCAGTGTCAGCTAAAAATAATCAGAGAACCTCTCACTGCTCCAGCCCCTCAGCAGATCTCTGTGGAAGAAGTTCAGACTTACTCAATAGGTGTTATAAATAATTCTGACAAGTCTTGCAGAATTTTCTCCGTTTGTACCTGACACTTGGCTTGAGGTAGTGGAAGAAGGATTTTTAGAGTTGAACAGGAAATAAATACAGCCTGATAATCCAGTGAGGACAGCTGTTCCGTTCCTTGTAAACACAGCTCTTCATTTGTGGTAAGTGAGAAGAAAATAAGTCAAGTAAAATGTAGATGGAAATGACAAAATTAAGAAAAAAAAAAAGCATTTGAAAGCCAAAAACCCTGAAAATTTAAACTTACTGTGGAAAATGTTTTTAAGTTGTTCTGGATAAAGTCAGAATTTTTTGTTCCTATTAAAAGTTTTATTTTTACACTTCATGTGCTTTAATATTTTACAAAATAGACTTGATTTCAGGAAGATATTTATCTGTGTTTTTTCAATTCTATGCATAGATATGACTGGTTTTATACTGTAAAATACCCTTCTAAAAGACTTCAGTCTTTTGAAAACTTCTAACTTAAATGAGTTCATATTTCAGTAATATGTGAATGAGATGTGTTTTATACAGCTAGCAATTGCTTTCAGCATCTTTGTTTGAGTCATCAAGGAAAAATAACAAATACAAGTCATTGCCACATTCTTGAGGCGGAAAGGAAATCTCATTAAGGGTAAGTGGTGTTGTAATAATACGTGTCATCTGTTTGCATGAGAGATCTGGAAGTGCTGGAGGTATTTAAATGATACCATAAAATAAACACAGCAGTCTTTTTGAGGAAAAACCCCTTATTTAAAAATGTTTGCATTCGGATATGCATAAACTTAGTGAAACAGGAGGTCATTAAACCCTGTCTTTGTGTCTGCAGCTGTTCTATACACCTAGGACCATAATGAATTTCCAGTGCACTGCTCCAGTAACACACCAAGTATTTCTGCTGCTGCCAGCCTTAAAG